TTCATACTACATAATCAATGTTTTTTAGGGTATAGGATGCCAAAACCATTTAACCTCAAAATCCTCTTGTCTATACATATTTACTTAACAATATGCGTATTGTTAGCAAATACAGATGTGAGAGAAAGGTAGTATTCTTGAGAAAACTGCATGCCAGGAAGGGCTAGCTTTTAACCTTTGTGTTTTTAACCAAGTAACAGATATTGTTTAAGAAAGTATATCTGAATATACTGTGATGTAAATTTTCAATGAAATAACTTCAGCCTTGAGACACAATAAGATACCAAAGTTTAAAAATCCCAAGTATGGAACAAAACACCAAATTTTAAAATATCACTTTTAACATTTCCTTTTACTTTTCTGAAGAAACATTTAAGATGCACTGTTATAATAAGGTATACATTGAAACTGAATATATTTGAATTCAAAACTACAGATTTTAATTACTTTTTACTTAAATATTTTAAGCAATTAACAATTTAACCACAGCTTCTTATCAGTCTAGTATTTAGTAATTCTATTTTTATATCAAAGAAGTATATATTTTTGGTCCATTTTTGAATAATTAGTAAATCAGTGGAGTTTGCTTATATTCAATAACCTTGATTGTGAACAATATAAGCAACTCTAATGGACTATTTAGAAAATGGTAATGTTCTGATTAGAAAATACCATTATCAACAATGCTATTTGCTGAATGCAATTGATAAATACTTTCAGCAATCAACTAAATACCAGATTGACTACAAGAAAGAGAATAAAGGACACCAACTCACCATTAAACAATATTTACTCTTTTCTATGACCTGACACAATGTTAGCAACAGGGATAATATTTATATAAAAGAGAGTGGGCATGGGCTATGTGTTTCACATCTCTATGTTCCTAAGGTCAGTGGATGATTCATTAACGAGTTTGTCACCTTTATGAATTCTTTATGTTTGACTTAAGAAATGGATACTCATTTTGTTTGGGAGTTGAGGTAAAAGGTGGGGGGGATCAAATAGATTACCTGAAATAAACATAAACTCACATTCTCTTTCTCCCTTATCCCCAAAAGTGTGTTAAATATAATTCATTGTGGAGAAAAGAAATTGTTAAGTGTGAATCAATTTTATAAAGTCAACTGTAATATGGTGATAATGAAAGATGGTAGTCTGTAAGCAGAGTTCTGGCCACTGTTTTGGATATTTAAAAGGTCTATGCAAAAGCTTTGTGATGAATAAAGGAGATTAGGCTTAAAAAAACTGCAACAATTTTACCTTAAATTTTTATGATATGGCTCCCTGCATTTGAAAAAGGCTTTAGATAGTGATAACTGAAAGAGTAACTGATGGTCCTTTCCATCCTAAGCATGGAGGAAGAGTTCTTCTGTATGCTTACTATTTGTAGTCTGTTACTATTTCTGACCCTGACTCTTGAATTCATTGCCTTTGCTAAGAAAGAATCACCCAAGAGTTTAAATTACACTTCCGCTAGACATTTTAAAGAACACATTATACTCATTACACATTCAGTTTTGTTAAGGATAGAATCCTTAACTATAACAATGAAGGATATAAAACAACTTTTGGTATAATCAAGGATATAATACAACTCAAAAATTGTCGATCATAATCTTCTTAGCTGTTACCCATTGTACGATGTCATATTTACATATGAACAACTTCAACAGCTCAGTAATCTATGGATTTGTAGTACTGTGATTCTCTTGAAAGCCAGAGCTTATATAATACAAAATAATAAAATTATGGGTTTTACAAAATAATATTCTCTGGCTCAAATATTCTTTTTTTTTATTTTTTTGAGATAGTGTTTCGCTCTTGTTGCCCAGGCTGGAATGCAATGGTGCAATCTCGACTCACTACAACCTCTGCCTCCTGGGTTCAAGTGATTCTCCTGCCTCAGCCTCTCAAGTAGTTGGGAGTTTGTGTCACCACGCCTGGCTAATTTTGTATTTTTTTTTTTCATTTTTAGTAAAGATGGGGTTTCACCATGTTGGTCAGGCTGGTCTCGAACTATGGACCTCAGGTGAACCACCCACCTCAGCCTCCCAAAGTGCTGGGATTATAAGTGTGAGCCATCATGCCTGGCCTCTGGCTTTCCAAAGAGAGAATCACAATAATACAAAAATTTAAACTTGTTAAAATAACACTGTCCATATCCCAACAGCTCCTAAACAAGTTAACTAAAATGGCACAACAAATTTGCCTGAGTTTCTGTATGCCTTAATAAATAATCTTCAGAAAAAAAGTTATTATTTTATTTTTCTATATTAATCATTTCATTTCCCACTGTTCATTATCTTTTTAATTATTAATGTTATTTTGCTTTAAATCAGTACTAACATATTTAAGTCAATCATTTATTTAAACAACAACATTGGCTAGGCACAGTGGTACATGCCTGTAATCCCAGCATTTTGGGAGGCTGAGGCAGGCAGATCACTTAAGCTCAAGAGTTCGAGACCAGTCTGGGTAACATGGCGAAAACTTGTCTCTACAAAAAAAATTAGCAGGGTGTGGTGGCTCCCTCCTGTGGTCCCAGCTACTTGTGAGGCTGAGGCAGAAGGATGAGCCTGGGAGGCTGCGTGAGCCCCTGCACTCTAGCCTGGGCAACAGAGTGAGACCCTGTCTCAAACAAACAAACGAACAAACACACACAAAACACCCCCCACAGATATTGTTTGAAAAATATGTGCAATAAACTGTGATTTTAAAACCTTTTAAAAAAAATGCTCTCCAAATTGCAAACCTAGATAATTTAAGGGATCAAAATAAACTAGACATGAATTCAAAATTCAAACTGGCAAAAAACACTTGGGCTAAAAAGTATTACAAATTTCCCCTCTTAGGGATACAACTAGACTATGTCAATATGTTTGTAACAATGGCCAAAGTTAGAATTAAGAAAAAAAACCCAAAAACCCACTACTCAAAAATAAATCATAGTGAAACTAATTTCTGGATGCCTTCTTCCTAGGGCATCACATTAATTCACTGGAAACCTTCATAAGGCAATGAATGGCACTTGCTTACCTGAGGTGTTAAACTATCAGCTCCCTGTACTATTTTTAGTTTTGACAGAAAGAGGAGTCCCTTCACAAACAAGGTTAGCTCTGTAACAAAGCGAGCAAAGAAAACAGTGCACTTGGCAACGTCCAACAACTTCGAAGAGAGAGCACAACTCTCCAACTTTGTTATGCTCTCATAGACACATTCCCCACTCACATGGAAAATGCTGTTTTAAAAACTTCCCCTTTTTAATGAACTGTCATGCTATAAAATATTACCTGCTCCTATTTGCAATTTTAAGGGGAGCTATAAAATATTCCCTGATCCCATTTGAAATTATGTGAGCATAATTCTCACCATAAGTTTCACCGAGATGGTAGTTGTCACCTGCAAAGCCCTTGCAGGGGCAAAGGCCAACTCTGCACACAGGAAGCCATGGCGGCCACCCAAAGTCCGGCCAAGTGGAGAGCAGCACGCACCTCGGGAGTGTGAGGGAGGGAGGCTACTAGGACTTCTTTCCACCTCCTGTTCCCAAATCCTCCTCCCCGCACCTGGGGCCCTCAACTCTTGTCTACCTCACGTCCTCAACCCTCCTCCCCCGACCTCACGCCCCCAAACCCTCCCCCCCGCACTGCACGCCATCAACTCTCCTCTGTCCACCTCACACCCTCAACCCTCCTACCCCTACACCTCATGCCCCCAAACCCTCCTTCCTCTGCCTCACGCCCCCCAACCCTCCCCCCACTACCTCTCACTCTCACCCTCAACGCTCTTCCCCCTACCTCACGCTCTCAACCCTCCTCCCACATCACGCTCTCAAAACCTCCCCACCAACTCACGCCCTCAACCCTCCTCCCCCACCCTCTTCCCACATCTCACGCCCCCAAATCCTCCTCAGCCCCTAAATCCTCCTTGTCCACCTCACACCCTCAACCCTCCTACACCCTCCCGACACTCCCAAATCATCCCCAACCAACTCATGCCCTTAACCCTCCTCCCTGCATTTCAAGTTCTCAACCCTCCCCTGCACCTCACACTCCCAAACCCTCCCCACCAACTCACTCCCTCAACCCTCCTCCTTGCACTTCAAGCTCTCAACCCTCCCCCGCACCTCGTGCTCCCAAACCCTCCCCCACCTCACACCCTCAACCCTCCTCCCCCTACCTCACGCCTTCAACTCTCTCCCTCACCTCATGCTCCCAAACCGTCTCCCCACTTCATGCCCTCAACCCTCCTCCCCCCACCTCGCGCTCCAAAACCCTCCTCCCCCGACCTCATGCCCTCAACCCTCCCCCACACCTCATGCTCCCAAATCCTCCTCCCACCTCACACCCTCAACCCTCCTCCCCCTACCTCATGCCTTCAACTATCCCCCACACCTCAGGCTCCCAAACCCTTCCCCCACCTCAAGACCCAAATCCTCCTTCGTCCATCTCACGCCCTCAACCCTCCCCTCTCCACCTTACTCCCCCAAACCCTCCTCCTCCCACCTCACACTCCCAACCCTCCTCCCCCCACCTCACGCTTTCAAACCCTTCCCCTCACCTCACGCTTTCAAACCCTTTCCCCGCCTCACGCCCTCAACCCTCCTCCCTGCACCTCATGCTCCCAAACCCTTCCCTCACCTCACACCCTCAACCCTCCTCCCACACCTCACGCCCTCAAGCTCCTCCCCCCCACCTCATGCTCTCAACTCTCCTCCCCCCACCTCACGTCCCCAAACTTCCCTCTGCACACCTCACGCGTCCCAACCCTCCTCTCTTCACCTCATGCGCCCAAATCCTTCTCTTCCCTCGCTCACACACCCCTAACTCATCCTCTCCCTTCCCTCCCAGGGCTCTATATCCTCGTCTCCTTCAAACCGCCTCCAGAGTTACCCCGAATTCTCTCTCGTCCTCTAAAACTCGCTCTTTTCCCTTAAAATAGGTCCCCTCAAAATTCCTTAATTCCCGCGCGACCGCGGACTCCTGGCTCCCATAACTCACGAGAAGAAGGGGTCATCCTCAAAACTGCTGCTCAGCATCCTGAACATTCTGGCTCTGTCTTGGGCGGCGGCAGCCGCGGACAGATTGGAAAACCGATGTTAACTAGCCGCGGCCGCGACCGGAGCCTGCCTCCAGCACTGACGACGCCTCACTCGCTGCGCAGGCGGTGCCCGCCGGGAAAGGAGGTGCGTGACGCCGAGGTGCTTTCCCATTGGACATTGCTCTGTGACGTCACCAGGACGAGGCGGAGAGCAATGCGCGGCTGCCCTGGCAACCACAATCAACACAGTGGAGGCGAGAAGTTTGGCCTTGCGCCGGCCGGGCAGCTTTTCACCAAGGCTCCCGTGGGATGGGATAGCTTGTTCTCTGGGCTGCAGGAACCAAAACATTAGACCACCCTTTCTGTGACCTTGGGCATGCCGCCCTCGGTTCCGAGCCACAAGTCTTTTTTTTCGGGGAAAATGAAAAGGGGTCAAGATTTGGACCAGATGACACCCAATGTCCCATTCAACGGTCGCATTCTGTCATCCACAGGAATTAGTCCTGTATCCGAAACATTCTCTGGTAGTCAAAAGCTGTGAACAAATAACGAGAAAAAAAATGTGCAAAACGTTTTTTAGTACAATTAGCAAATAGTTCTTGAAGGAAATGGGATGAAGCCTATTAGATTTCAACAAACTTTTTTACCTCTTGTGAGTTTGAAACTCAAAGCAATAATGTTTCCCAAAGTGGGAAACGCTTAGGTAATATGTAGACGTAGTATTAAAAAATAAACGAGAAAGCTACTCTCTCTTCGGTTGTCTTTCTGTGTCTCTCTTTCAAAGATCAAGTCTCACTTTGATTCTGATATGTTTTTAACACTTCTCCAGCATTTCTTAACAGCAGGATTCAGGCACAGGCCTGCAGCAAGCAGCCGTATCCAACTAAAATTCCACTACCATGTATTTTTGTTTGCATTACATTTAGCAGGGAGCTTTCCATTTATGGCAAGGAAACTGATTTTAAATTTAAAGCAGTGCTATACATTAAGAGCTAGATTTTGCATTTTTAAGTGAAAAAGTAAGCTATCGAATAGAACAGGTGGGATTTGGATATGGTGGGGCAGGGGGTTAGGCAGAGCAGGGGAGGGGAACATCATGATAGTGGTACTCAAATTACTACGTTTTAGAAAACACTATCACGGGGCCTTTCAGGAGCCTGGAGACAGATGGAGGAGAAGACAGAAGAGAGATTAAGTAAGGAGAAGAACGGTAAGAGTTTAAGAAAAGAGAAAATACATCTTGCATGTCCACCCTTAATTCAGTGGGCTGGCTCCCCAGCTTCTCTACAGGGCTGTCTTGCAGAGATAAAGGGGCATCCATAGCTCATCAGGGCCCCCTGGGATCAGGCCAGAGGGGTGGCACTTTGCCAGCATGAAGAAGTGTGCAGGGCCTGATTTGGAGGTGACAGGAGTAGTCAGGGGTTATTTTGAGAGCTGGAAATTTAATCCTTTGGACCTTTTACTCCCCACCCCCGCTTTTTAGCCAAGTTCTCTGCCAGCTTCCTTCCCCTGAGACTAGTAGCACGAGGTAGGGCAGACTTCACAGCCCAAGATGAGATGGCACAGCCCATCCAGGGAAGAGGATATTTTCTTTTCCTCTGGACTCAGAATAAAGCTCTGAGAGCATAGATACACAATTTCTAAAATTTCTAAATAAATTTCAAGGCAAACAAAATTGTTTTACAAGACCTTAAATTGTTTTCCTCTTTAAAATAGTACAAGCCCAAGATGTGAAGGAGGCCATACTTAAAAAAACTTGAAATGGAGTAAGTTATGTGATAAAAGATAGTATTACAATAGTTCTGGATTAAGGCCAAGTAAATTTGTAATGTTACCCTTTAGTTTCTATGGGAATTTTTTTAGAATCATATTGTTACAAAAGCTTTAGTCCAGGCACAGATTAGTTAGGGAATTAGCTGAAGCCTGTGAAAGCAGTTTGGATCTAACGACAAATGCAGAAAAAATAGGAGGGCACAGGAGAGTTGGCACTGAAGAGACCTTGACATCATTTTCAGAACTGATGGGTAAGAGGTGGAAATGAAAGAAAGGGTGGGTCAGGAGAGAATGAATACTCCAGCATGGGAGGAATAGAGAAGCAGAACAGAACTGAGAGGAGAGGGTCCTGGACTTGGCTGTAAATATCATCATAATAGCTAATATTTATTGAATGTGTGCCAGGCACTGTTGTAGGCACTCCAAATGCATTACCTCATTGAATCCTCATTAACAGTTTTATGTAGTAGAGATGGCTTTTATCCCCATGTATAGATGATACATACATTCAAGACACAAAGAAGCTGAATAAATTGCCAGGGTTCACACAGCTAGTGATTGAACTGAGCTGGGTACCTGGAGCTTTCCTCGGTGAGTGCTGGGTATATGGTATGTGAGTCAGGAGTCATACTTAAAAGATGCAGGATGAAAGCTGGTAATCATTTTTCAAAATCACGCTGACAAGCTAAGCGGACCCAAACTAAAAAGTACAAAATTCAGTGGGAATATATTCAAATCACATAAATTCAATTCCACAAATATTTATTGAGTGACTACCCAGTATTGGGGACTGATCTACAATCTTAGGCATCATTGAACAAAATGGACAAAAATCTCCTTCTTGGAGTTTATGTTCTTGTAAGGACAGACTCAAAACAAACAAAATAGAAAATAGTATATTGTAAGGTGATAAGTGTTAGGCAGAAAAGCTGACCAGGGTAAGGAGTATGGAGAAGTGCAACTATAAATAGCAAGTTTTGTGTATGCCTTACTAAGGGGAATTTAAGCAAAGACCCATAAGAAGGAAGTGGATGTCTAGTGGAAAAGCATTCCAGACCAGTGAAATCCTAAAGTAGCATTTGAGCATTTGCCTGGTATATATAATGTACAGTTCTACTCATATGTCTTAAAACTCACCTTCCGAGTGAGGAATGAGATGAGCAAAGTAAATTGAAAAATTGCCTAATAGTATAATAGCTCTCATTTACACTTCATATGTTCCAAGCATTACACTAAGTGCTTTACATATGTTTTCTCATTTAACCTTTATAGCCACCATGTCTAATATTATGTTTGTCCATATATTACATATAAAAAAGCTGGAACCCAGAGAAATTTGATAATTGAATTTTGATAATTGATTTGAAAGTTGATAATTTGATTAAATTTTAATAATTCAAATTCGATGTCAATTCAAACCCAGATTTGTCTTACCTTAAAGCCTATATTCTCACTACCATCCATACTTTGCCTCCCTATTTTAAAAATTAACTATTTATGGAGCAAATATTTGCAGTAAACACTTTTACATATATAATCTGTAACTACACTGTTGCTTAGGTTTCATTTGGAAGGACACTGACTAAGGAAATACAGAGAAAAGCATGAAACCCAAGCCAAGTCTGCAACTCTATTAAAAACACCAAGACTTCAATATGTAAGTGATTTCATGTTTCTTTCATTGATTTATCAAATACTTATTAAGGACTAGTAATACCCCAGACATTATTCTAGACATTGAGGTTACAAAACTGCCTGGCCTTTTGGAACTTACATTCTAGTGGACAGCTCTTTCCCCAGCTAATTTTACAAATACTGTTGTTACAGCACCTCAGAATTTTCATAATGTTTCTGAAGACATTATCTCATGTGCCCAAAAGAAAATAGACAGGCTCTTGAGTGCTGAACTTTTAACTTAATTATAGCTTTCCAGAGCCATGAGTATTAGGCCATTACAAACACCTTTACCACAATTAAGTTCAATGTGTCTAGGGTTTCCTTGTCCTAATCCCTTTGTCTTAAACAGTGCATAGAGGTCCTCTGAGAATGAGATGCCACAGCGAACTCACAAGGGGTTATGGGACAAATTTTGAGAGAAACTTGGCATGCGTTAGACATTGTGCAATGTGCTAGTTTAGGGCAGTTCGTGTATTTCAATATTAGATTGCACTACATTGTTTTAGATGATGTCATATCATTGGAAAGGTAGGTTTTTGAAAGTTACTATGATGAAAATGAAGTGCCTGTCAAAGTGTAACAGGAAAGATTGGCGGCAACATTCGGTCTGTTTCTAAGATTTGAAAAATTGTGCTGTGCTAGGCAGGCACCCATCTGTTAGTATGATTATTTAAGAGTTATACAAAAATATGTTTCTTTCAATTTATGTGCATTATTTTTTGAAGTTACTAAGTTTTTAGGTCAGAAATATGCTGTTTGTATCTAAATTATACAACAATGGACCTATTCAGTATTTCTTTAGACCTAGGGGGCACAATGAAAAAATTACTGAGGAACTAAGGGTTCATGAACTAAGATAGTTTGGGGACCTCTGTCTAACCCCACAATCTTTCTTTCAAATTAAAAAGAAATTTAAAATATCATGCATTCATTTTCTAAGAAATATATGTTTCATTTTATTATTCATGTTTATCTTCTTTCCAGTCAGCTGACTTACCAGTCTTCTAATAGCTTTGCTTTATATCCTTTTGAGAGATGGGAAAATGGTGCATAGCAATTAAGTGACCTATAAGAGCATAGATCCCAAGGTCCTCAAACTCCCAATAGGGCTGCCTCTAATCCATATGGCATCTTTGCTCAAATTAGAAAAAGTGCCTCCCTCTCATGATACTTCTATTAATGAGAAATTTGTCTTAATAAATATACAAGGCTGTAATGTATATGATTTGACTGGTGCTCTCTTAGGTGTTGTATACACGTCCATGGCAGCACTGTTCCTAATCTTGAATTCTTTCCACTACATATGTTTTAATTGAGTGCCAAGCTTCACCCCCAAACTCATGTGCAAGAAATGTAATTTTATTTTCCTGCAATCAACCTTAACTTACCTTCTGGGCTTACATTCCACTGGGAGTCATTCCCATTTCCTTTTCCAGGGAGACAATGCCAAGGTGTAGTTGGTTGCTAGCCATGCTGCATTCCTAAAGTCATCTTTATTGCCCTCACTGGGTAGGGACAAGGGCACTAAACATCTTACTCACAGTCTGGCACAATGAATTGTCCTTCCCTAAATAGCAATCCTCTCCTTTTAAGAAATATACTCTCTAGAGCAAATGTTTCCTCCAGTGAAGCAAAAATTTAAAGAAGAATTGAGTTAACAAAGGAAAAAAGTGGCAGACTTTTAAAGTCGTATTTACTTTTGCAGCTTTTATCTGTAGATGTG